CCCCAAAACCCCAAAACCCCAAAACCCCAAAACCCCAGGGAGTGTTTTATTGGTAGATGTTATTATTTATGAGTAAAAATATATTGATTGCTTATAAACTTAATTTGGCTTACTTAATGGAGTAAAATACTAAAGCAATTGGATCTCAACTGATCAATAATTTATTCACAGCCCACTTATCCAATGTTAAAAATTCCCTCTATCTTATTGACGAAACTAATTGTTCATCCAAAGCATTCAGGGATTTGATTATTAATTATGGAATTGAGTAGCTTATTTAATCAAAGATTTATGGGTAAGTTTAAGGATTTGAAGTGAAATCAATATAGAAATGTGATTTATCTGAGTATGAGAAATATTAAAGACTTAAAGTTCTTGAATGATGATTATTCAGCTAAGTATTCACATCAGGCTCTCTATCAAAATATTGCTAAAATTGGTGATGTAGAATATCATACTTTAATGGCTAGTGGTCAATCTATTCCTAAAAGAGAGTCTATTTCAATTCCTAAACTTGACAATCTAATCTTGCTAAATGCCTATCCATTGCTTATCAACCCCCCTGGCATTGGGGGTCTCGGAAAGCCTTCAAATATTTATCAGATTCTTAAATAGAGTGAAAAACCTTATGAAACTCTATTAAAAATCATAAATATAATCATTTCTTCTCAAAAGCTAGGCTAAGCTGCACTTGTTATTGATAGTTTGCAGTTATTTGAGAAACTTGGCAAGCCAAGTGATCTTCTCAATTTTTTCGGCTAAGTGTAAAGAAGTATTGAGTCTAGCAGTATTTGTAAGTTATAAAATTGGAGAATAACTTTATTTAGTCCCTGTATATGTTCATTCAGATTTCAGTCTAGTCAGAAATAAGTAGCTACAGCTTGCTCTTACTAAATCATGCAATGGGTATTTGAGGATCGAAAAAGAAAGTTCAGGGGTATAAAAGAATAACACTAGCAATAAGTATAAATATGCACTTGTGTACGTATCAGTGGTCAAACCTGGCGAGAGATTCACAGATGAGACTTCAGTTGTTTAATATTCACTATTGGATTATGAGATGAAATTGTTAGGCAATAAAGAAGACGTTATGAAGCACTTCTCAGATGGAAAGAAATAGAGTTAGGAAGAAAAACCATCAAATGTTAAGGCAACATTCAAGATTGAAATAAATGATGAGGACAAAAAGGTCAGAGATTCATCAAATACAACTCTCTATCATACAGGAAATAGTAATTAGGGTGGCATTTAACTAGACTAGGAAGACTTAGATGAATTAGAGAAAAAGAGATTAGAGGATATTGAAGAAGGTGAGGGTGGAGAAGATGATGATGAGGAGGAGGAAGATGATCCTGATGAAGATCTTGATTTCTGAGTAATGAATAGTAAAATCATTGAGAAGGATCGTGGTGATATCATCCTTTATAATTAGAGCTGATATTTATTTGATTTTATAAATTCATAATTATGTTTCCAAAGACCTAATAATGATTTATATTTAATAGATGGGGTTTTGGGGTTTTGGGGTTTTGGGG